GAGTTTTACGTGTAGAGGAAGCCTGTTCATGCAAAACCACCGAGTGAATAAAGTAGCACAGGTAAAATTAAGTTGGAAAATAATCCTTTTGTAAAGTTTTCGAATACATATGCTTCCTTATTACGTGCAATGTAATGCATGGCTGTTACCGAACAGCCCAAATTTCGAATATGTATTCTAACACGTTTTCACGAGAACTGCTAGTTGTTTCATTCATTTATGCAACGCTCGAGTTATGTTGGACTAAGTCAACGACTTATTCGCTTGATATGCCCAATGGGGAGATCAGAGGAGTAGTATATTTCTTAAGCTCACGTGCGGACATGCAGGTCAGTGACTAATAAATGTAAATGGAATTGTCAGGTGCAATTGTAAACGTACCATTTTTTGTGCATTAAGGGTAATTGCCTTTCGCCACATTTTTTATAATTATTTTGATATTTCCATTACGAAGAGGTTCATATCCTCCTTGAAGTGCTAATTAAGACTTTACGATTTTCACTGGCTTCAGTCCATTGACAATGAATAATAATTTAATTCTACGTGCTTACCCACATTTTTCAAAATAAGATATATCTAAAAGCATTTACCTAAATAACGAGCTTTTAAACACTTTTTCTTATGCAGCTCTTTGTGTGTGTCATGGATTCAGAACCAGCCAAACATGTCAACTCATTGCCGAGAAACATGAAGGTCCCCAGCAAAAGTCACGAATGAATATGCCTATAATTTGATTAAAAAATTTTCTATAACAAGTTATCTCTTGAACGACAGCTTTGGTTATATAGTTTGGCATCGGATGTCTGCGAACCTTATTTGTTTGAAGATTAAGTCAAGATCAGAATGGGAAATGTTGGCCAGTTTATTGATTCCCCTAAACCTTGTGAACACGTCTTCTGTTGTAAATGAAAGAGCCAACCCTTCTGTTTAAATCGGAAGAGTTTCCAGTATATTTGGTTACTTCTAGACTCAGTTTTACAATAACAAATGCAGAGCACTGTAGCAATAAAATCAACGGAGATTTTTGAGAAAACTGTATAGCAATGTCCCGCGACAACTCACTCAATGTGTGTTTTGTTAACTGTCTTCAACTCTATATTGACTGTACAAACGATTTAGTTACTATATACTAATAAAGTCCTTATTAGTATTCCTTGTCTGCAACCCTTCAAATATACAATAAACATTTTTAATTGGAGTATAGCAAGTAAGAGGCTTAAAAGTTGATTACTCAATTTTATGTCACAAAACTTGAAAAATTTGCAAAATAGAATTTTCGTAACTTATTTCGCTCTTCTTTTTCCAAAATAATGCGCTATCTCATAATAACACTTACCTCAATTTCAAGGACGCAAAACAAATTTTTCGTTTTGTGAATAGATCTAACTGAAAATTTCCTGCTCTTCATGAATATGCTTTTATAGTGCAACATGCACAAACAATAATTTTTTTTCTCAACGTTTAATAGCGCAGGAAATTGCCAGGATATCAACAAACACTGGATTTTGCTCATTTTTCCTCTATTTTTCTCCCAGTATACTGATCTGAAAGGAAGTAAATTCTAGTAACCATCATGTTGCGCCTCAAGTCAACTCAATGAAATAAAAAACAACCTCAAATCTGTGTTAAATCCTCCCGACCCCCAACCTTTTATAAGATATGTAATCTACTGTACATTGTCTGGGTAGACATGTAGGCTTTCGCAGACCACGTCCTTCCTCGCCGTAAAGAAAGGAGGCGGAAACGTCTCCTAAAAGTCCTTTGCAGCGCCAGAAAAATCCAGCGTCTTGGGCCCCTTGTTGAAGAGAACTATGCAGAGCAGAGCCTACGACGGGTTCGATGACTTCCTGTCTGTGGTGGGTCAATACGTACTATTCGACCTGTTACCCTGCAGGCTTCCAAAACGAGTTCCAGAAGAAATTGGAGACTGAAGCTGCAGGCGAGATATCTCCAGGTTGATAGTTTGAAGTATCTTTATGTGTTGGTGGTCTGTTGTGAAGTCAGTGTTGTTCGCAACTTTACTTTGAACACAAAGTCGACGTAGGCGGCTAATGCTGATTTTCAAAAAATGTAGGTCTCTAAAGTTCGGTTCGCCTGCACATTTTACGGCGGTTGCACATGAGGCTCAAACGCCCGTGAAAGCTCTTTGGTTATGTCACAATTGCATTTACAATGGCAAGATGGTGGCAATCTATCGCGAATTCGGGCGGCTAGCAGATGACTAATAAAAATATCGCCCGACGTTCTTAAATCCCTCGTGGATCCATTTATCTCAGACATGACCAACTCCAGCTCCTGAAGTTCTGTCTCAGGATGTACTTCACGTTTGACGGAACGGCAACGATTCCTTATAAGGAACGCCATAGTAACGCATAGCCCCAGATTTCTGTCTTACGGTACCGATAGCTATATGGGTTGGGCATGTCAGGTGAAAAAAAGTTATTGAAATAGTAGAGTGAACAAAAGTAGATAATAATGGAAAAATATTTAAAAAAACTAATGTTTGGCTACAAAAGCGTGCGGTAAAATGTGAAATACATCCAATTGGAAACAATAAAATCCGCAAATTACGGAACCATGCAACGAAATGCGAATTTTCCAAATTAAGTTAAAATCATGAAAAATGGAATTTTTCCATTTTTTAAACCAAAAGCAACTGCATTTCGCGAATAAAACAGACTCAACATACATAAGTAAGATAAGCTTCAGTAATTTAACTAAAATTAGGTAAAATATCTAGACGTCAATGTAATCTAAACAAAAACATTACTATTAAAAGTACATTAAAAACTTAACTGAAAATCAATCTTAACTTACAAACCTAAGATAGATTAAAGAAAAATAATTCAACTGAATAATTAATCAAAACTAATAAAACTAAATAGTGAATTAAACTAAAACTAAACAAACAGTAAACTAAACTTAAGTGATTTAACTAAAAAAGTAAACATAGATCAGTAAAACTAAAAGTAACCGTATGAAAGAAAAGCCGTAGAAAAATAATGTAGTAGAGCACTGTAATACAGGGCTATGTAAAATAATAACACACAAAAGGCTTACAATAACGAAGTAAGTAGACAGTTATGCATAGAAAACTAGAGAGTGTTCATTTCAGTGTATCGTTTCCGACGGTACCCTTTACGAGCGGGAAAAGGGAACGCCAATAGATTCATCAATTTCGGGATTCGTATCCGAGGCGGTCTTAAAACGGTTAGAGTCACTGTGGTATGTGGATGATACCTTTATCGTCATTGAACGAAATCAGAAGCTCACGTTCAAAAGACGTCTCAGCAGCGTCTTCCAAGACATTTAATTTACGATGGAGGAAACAGAAAACAACCAGCTGGCCTTCCTTGGTGTCCTTGTCTGCCGCAATGATTGTGGTGGCCTAAAGCGACCAATACGATGTAAGTAATGAAATTCACCAGCAAGCACCTAATTAGCCGCAAAAAGAGTTGCGTAAGTAGGCTTTATTGGCCTATTGAGACGTACTGCAGTGAACCGAAAGAACCGATGTATGCGAAGGCGATATGAGCAACGAATTAGCTCCGAGCCAAAATGATGGCAAGCCATTCCGTACATCAGAAACGTCTTGGAGGCTGTCGAACACCTTTTCGCACCACTTTGAATTAGCGTCACACACAGTCCGGAGGCAACCATAAGGTGTCAGCTAATGAAACCAAAAGACCCACTGCTACGGCAAGAAACACCTGGAGTCGTCTATAGGATCTGGTGCAGTTGCGGACAAAGCAACTACATCGGAGAGCCTGGAAGACTTTTCAAGATGCAAATTGCCGAACCCGCGGCAGCAGTGCGGAGAAATTACGCCAGTTCTCGAGTTGCGGCTAATTGAACGAGATCCGGTCTGACATTCAAATTTAATGAGACGGAAATTGTCGCGAAAGGTGACAGTCGTGCGAGTCGCGATTTACTTTTGTCATGGTTCACGGTTCCCCAGTCTATAAACAAGTGCAGCGGCGCACCCGATCCATATTCGGTGTTGCGACTCCATTTGGCCAAAGTAAGTCAGCACTTGGGGAACGCATTGGCCAATGCGTCGTCTAATGCCAGCGCTGGGGAGCCAGATAGCCGAGCAATCATCACGCCCATTTCCACCATGCATGATGAAAGTTCATAACCCTAAACCCTAACCATAACAATAACCCTAACCATAACCCGAACCCTTACCCT